CTATTCCCCGTTCATTCTTTCCTCTCCCACGTCTCTTTACATTTGCTCCCACTCGCTGTAGCCCATTGCGTACTAATGGCAACCGCGCCTTGATTTGAGTGCAACCTTAAAAAATAAATAAATAAAATAAAACATAAAAAATCTCTTTTTTTTGGGGGTTACTGCGGTTGTACTCCAAATTGTGCTTATTTAATTTGCGATGAATATTAAAATGGCGGTATTTCTTAAAAGTGTTTCATTGACAAACAAAAGAAATCTAGTCTAGTTTATTTGAAGAATTTGCAAATCATAATTCTTCTTTTAATCTAGAGATTGTACTAAATTAGCCAACCATGTTTAGAAATTAAAGGAAAATAAAAAAAGATCCGATTTAAACTGAAAAAATTAAAAAAAAGTAAAAAACCTTACAACAATCATAAATGGAATTCATTTGTCAACAAAAAAATAGCTACAATTACATTTCCAGACCCCCCAAACCTTTTGATCCAAAGATCGTAAATTATGTCCCGTTGTATTCATACCAAAAAAGTTCCTTTTGATTTCATACGAAGTGGCATGAAAGAAAAAAATATCTATATTTCATGTAATCCCCACCAATATATTTCCAATATATTTGAATTCCCCTCCTCCTTCTCTTTCTCCTCCTCACATTCTAGCGCTCAGAATTTTTTTTAATTTAAAAAATAAAGCGTTTGGAAATCAAATGACCGAAATCGGCTGAAGATATCGAAAGTTTGAAACCAAGATGGCGGAATCGGCGTATTTCATAATTTTCTATACTTAAAAGTTCTACATTTTAATTTTCTATCATTTTATGTGTGTATTGAGCAGTTTTTTAATACTACTGTTTCCTGGTGAATTTTGTGTGTTATATTCTATATAGTAGTTTCGCTGTGTGAATTTCTTGTGAGAAAGATATATATATATATATATATATATATATATATATATATATATATATATATATATATATATATATATAGTCGAGGAACCTAACTGAAATAATAAAAGAAAAAGTATTAATATATAACGCAGTGTGTCTGACAATTTTAATTTTTTAATATTTTTATTGTTCGAAAACACATACATACATACATATATATATATATATATATATATATATATATATATATATATATATATATATATATATATATATATATATATATATATATATATATATATATATATATAGAAATAGAGACAGAGAGAGAGAGAGAGAGAGATAGAGAGACGGGGAGAAAGAAAGACGCATATAAGGAAAATATAAGCGCAAATATACTGGCCAATTTTTGCCGTGTGCATGGCGCTATTCGACTCTGTTCTTTGATTCACAGACATCCATTACTGCCTGCTGAGGTAATAACTAAAAATGGAAGTCCGAAACCAAAAATCAACACAAGTCAAAAGAAGCCATCACTCCAATGGCCGGAAGTCATGTTTGACTTTGAAACGGAAGAAATATATATGACATTGTATGAGAAAATTCGGATGCGGTATCCGAAAGTAAACAGGTTTCCTTACTAAGTAATTTGTCTTTAAGCTTCTATGAAATCGTACATTAAAATCCTCACGTCGAATATGACGTATTGGCAAAAATTACCCAATTTAGGGTTATTTCGTCAAATTTAAATGGAATTCATCCAGAACCTTTCAACACCCATTTTAAAATTTAATAACCAATTTGAATGAGGCAGTTTTAGTGATATTGATTTTTCTTTCTCTTTGTTGTCTTACGGTTCGCATTGATATCTAATAAGTTTTTCTAAGTCATAATTCTAATCCACCCAGGAATAGCAGCCGTTTCCTTATAAAGAAACATTCGAAATTCATTGACCGAGCAGCCAGTGCTAGCATCGGTTGAAATTTATAAAATCCTTTTTAAAACAATCTTAGGTAAATTGTTTTCAAAAGTCCATTAACTGTTATTGCTCTTTCCAGTACTGATAGGAGTTTCCTTCCTAATTTCTTGATAAGTAGTGTGAAATACCCACATCTTGATTATGCTATTATTTTCTCTTGGAGTTTCATGCGTTATCCATTTTAATTTTTACGTTAGAAAAAAGTCCTCATGTGATGTGATTTTCTTTCTTTGGTAATGTTCTTTGTTGAGAATACTCTAGCACCATTCTAATGTTGTATAATCCCTCTGTGCTGGGAATAGTCTTCGTTCCACGGTCTTGAAGCGATCATAATAAAGTTGTGTTCCACTCGTTCTTCTCTCTGTCGACCGAGGTGACCGTTGGTTTGTTCGGAGTTAAAATGAGAACTTCAACGAAAGAGTATTTGAAAATTATGTATTTTATCAAATTCGTCGACCTGTACATGTTCAACTACCCAATAAGGTTGCTCTATCACCCTTCCTTCAACCATATCCGCTCAGCTTCTAACTAATCCATTGACACTACCGCAGCGTGGAAACCCACAAGCCACCTGCCGAATTCCACTAGGTCATCGGAGACCCCAAAACATAGCCCGTAGTTTCTTAGGGTATATTTATTAGATATAAATACTTCATGTAGCAGATTCCCCAATTCTACGCCACATAAATCATTAGATCTCTAACCACAGAGGTAGGTGTGACAATTTCCACTTCAGGACACAGATTCGGAAATCTGAGACCATTAAAGCTGAACTTAATTATTCCCAAAACAGTTAGCTAACTTACTTTTTTTCCACAAAAACATTAATTCTCAAAATCCAAAAATTAATAAGTTAATTCTACAACCATTGGAGGCAAAATGACACACACACGGCTATTAAAATAAAATTTTAAAAACTCCACACTCTCTTACAAAAATGGAAAAAACAATCATTTGTCAGTTAATTACAATCAACAAAATAATTATAATCTTAAAACAATTGAATGCACACAAACCCATAATCACAATAACTTTCAACTCATTAAGAGTCTACATGAATCACAGTGGGAATGCCCCATCATAAAATGCCATTAGTCCTCTTTGAAAACCATTTTCGTTTGCGTTCATGTACGCAAATTCAGGCTTTCACGTGGACAATCATGAAAACTGGTTAAATTTACTCCGTCAAGACAAAAAAGATTTTTTTTCTTAACAGAGAAACGTTTGGGGCCAGAATTTTTCCACAAAATAAAAATTACAACTCCAGCATATGCAACGTGAAATCAGGCCCAACATGACCTTAGAAAAGACATTTAAATCGTGCCAATCAAAATCAGCAATAAATTTCCGTATATGGTTTAAACGTTTATAAAAAGACAAAGCAAACAAACACAGTCTCTTAATAAAATGTTTCATGAAAATTGACATTATCTCATTAGTGTGTACGTGCGAATGTCGGTGTTCATTCGCCTTTCCTTCTTTCTTTTCCAAACCTTTTTTTTCTATTGTCTGTCCCTCAAAAATTGCCTTTTCCACATTTTTTCCATTACTTCCCATTTTGGTTCGGTGATTAGATCTGTGTGCGTATGTGTCTGTGTGTGTGTATAGCAGTAAAACAAAGTCCAATAAGTGTAGACTACTTTTTTTGTCATATTACCTATGTTCCCCCTCCATCGAAAATCAGCTTCGAACATTTTCCACATTGTGTTTCAAGTCTAGTTCACTTATTCCTTTCCTTATTGGCAAAAGCTGGTTGACCACGCACCAAGATAAGAGTATATTGTATAGCACCTTCCTGCTTAGAGTAGTCTTGGGGCAAAGGTATTGAGGCGATTATAATAAAAGTCGTCTTCCTTTCTTTCTCTTCTCTCTCGGCCAGGCTGAACGCTAGTTGTTTTCTTCGGAGGTAAAATGAGAAATTCAACAAAAGGGTGTTTGAAATTTATCTATTTTATTAAGAATGTTGACGTGTACATTTTTAACTACCCAGCCGGGTCATTCTATCACCCTCCCACTAGGGAGCAACTTCCCCGGGACATGACATAACCACGTGTGATCTCTTCTACATGTAAAACATAACTCCCCTAAAACACTTTCTAAATTTAAACATTCCTACATACGACTAAGCTAATCAAAGCCGTAATCGCTATTTTGCCCACCAGCTGATCTCAAAATCAGCCTTAGAAAATCTGAACCAAATACACTGCCACCAAAAAATAATAATCTTCAAGTATTATTTTAAACTATGAGGTTTGAAGAAGTAGTTTCCTCGGTAAGACCATCGTGGATCATTTAATCGAAGCCTTATTTAAGAAAATCGTCTTGATTTGTGCTGTTGTTTTAGTCTTAAAGCTGATGTTTTAAGCATGATTTGCCGAATTTACGTTTTGTATAAACAAGTTAGCAAAATGTCAATAAGTTTCAGGCAAAATTATTGAATTTATTTCTCAATAATGAAGATACCTTTTTATTATTGTTATTGATATTAAACTTGAATCGAACATAATAAATAACCAAGATGTGAACTGAATATTTGAATAATACCGAGGTATCAATAATTTTTTTATACCAGTTGACAGACGTTTGGAATAATTTGGGATACGTTCCTTGTAGATGCTACTATCAATTTTAGCCTGTTTTGTTTTTATCAATGTTTATCCGATAAAAGCATCAAGATTTACTTAAAACTGAGCCATACTTATTGAGATTGGAGACATAAGAACTTAAGTGGATGACGTCGGAAGTGAAGATTATGAGGACATGGTGGGTAGATAATGACTGACTCTATATTTGAAGAGGTTAAAATTGTGGTGCTCGGAGAAGCATTTACACAGAAATTGCTCCACAACATCTTTCCGTGTCGGACGCCATACTTATCAAAGGTTCACGTAAAATATAAACGTGATTTAATCCTGTGTACATAAAAGGTCTAGTCGTTCTTGTAAAGGTCAGATCTGGTGGCGATAAAGTATACGGATCATGGGAACATTTGCCATGAAAGTAGTGATAGGCTTGCGTCGGTGCAACTTTAGAAAAGGGGAATTGGTGGGCGAGTATTAGCAGGCTCCAGGCGAATATGGCTTCAATGATCAATATGATCTGACGTTCGTAAAGATAAAGCATACAAGAAACAGCCAGATGCTTTCTGTACAGGTAAAAACAGCGGACAATTGTTCCACCATAGGTCTGCGGTGAACCTGAGTTCAAATAGACGTTCAAACCGAGGAGACTTATTGAGTTTGCAACCGTTCGTCATAGGCCTGTTCGCTAATGATGAAAATAAAATGACTTGATTTTCGAGATATTGAAAGTTACAAGTCAGTTTTGATTTATTGAGCGGCTAAGCGCTAGTTCAGATCAGATATTACTTACCAGATTCTGATAATCATGATTAAGAAGGTACACCCTTAATAATTTGAGAATATCCCGAATCAGATGGTTAAGAGAAAAATTAAGATGACCGATGAGTGTCTATGTGACGTGTGAATTAGTTTCTGAACACTGGACATTAGCTACAACCTTAATGGTCCTACACTTTAAGAACTTAATAATTGCGTAGCCTCTACTAGAGATGCCATGCCTGGAGAGTTTCTTTAGCAACCTCAGAGGAAACATCTTGTCAAATATGTTTTAAAGATCTCCATCGATCTCTCTTATGTTGAATTACTATGGAACACTTGAAAAATTTGTTGTGTAACAATTCTTAACATCTTCTTTAGAGCTAGATTATAACGATTCTCACTACTTATCACTTGGTTTATGTCTTCTGAGGTGAAAACAGTCGTTTTGTTTAACGTCATCGAAAGAAATACCATGGCTACACCGAGCAAGAATTTTTACTTGGTTTTGCTCCATCAGATCATGATTCTACTCAACACCATTCTTCTTTCATCGTTTTCATAATTTCTTTTTTCTGTCAGAACGTGGAGTTGGGGAGATATTAAGAAGACAAATATTGCTAAGAGCTACAAAATATAGAAAATTATGAAGGTCTTAGACCAGCCACATTCTGCAGAGAGACAGGCACTGCTTTTTAATTGTATTATTAAATGTCTTTCTTCTGGCTATCGAGTCTCTACACTACACCCATCCAGTGTTGCACATAGAGACTTGCCTCGGGTGTCAAGATTTCAATGTCGTTAACTGTACATGAATATTCAAGATTGGAGTAAACTTGAAGAGTCTCCATAGACTGTGGAAATTATGCATATCCCCGTTTCTGAAGGTTGGCTCTGTCCTGAACGACAGCTGTTCGATGGTGATTTAGGCAGAACTAGAAAGGCTAGGCATCACTGGAGCCAGGGATAAGGAATTCTTGCGGGTTTAGAGAAATCCTGTGTTCCACGTCGTGAAATTGGCTGCATTATAGGGAAAGAATCAGGCTCGAAGCTCTGTTGTTCATTGCTCCGACTGAGTGTAATAAGCTGTATCTTGATATGAGTGTTTTTTTGCCATTGGTTCACGGCTGTGGAGTGAATAACAAGGCTCTCTTTCCTGCTTCAAATTCTGAAGTCGTGAGTGGACTGCCCTTCCGATGTAAAGAAATAGAAGTGATCAACTTTGGTTGGCTTGAGACTCTCAGTGATTGATTGGCAAGAGGCGTCTAAGGCAGGGTCGATTTTCTTTGCTCTACACTGTTGAGGCGTATTCTTCAGTGGAGTAACTATCGACTAGAGCTGACGGGTGGAATGTATCAGCATGGCACCTAATGTGAAAATTACAGAAGGAAATGATAAGTAAAATAATTATCAGTTCATAAAATGTGTTTTTCTTTATTCAGTCGTATTTTTTGTATTAATATGGAAACAAGACGCAGTTTGAAGAAGCTGGTTCTTTGATCCTAGTAATGGTGTGCTGAAACTTCTAGAATGGTTCCAGCATGGTATTTCTAGAAGCAAGGAATCAAATCGTCGTTACCGTCATTTCCGAGGGTCTAAATCCTCGAATATGTTAACTTTTAATTTTTCTTATATATCGAACATTTCTTTTAATTATGGCGTTAATTTAAAATATAATGCAAATCTTTTATTTATTTTTTGGCTTTAGTTTCAACAGATAAATGTTCAGCCTGTGTGCATTGTCTATATGTTATTTCTGTGCATGTAGAGTCACTCTGTATAAGATTGCATCCGTAGGTATAAATGTGCCACTGAAAAAGAGAGAGAGAGAGAGAGAGAGAGAGAGAGAGACAGACAGAGTATTTACGCCGGAATTATTTCGTCCCTTCATCTAAAAATCTAAGCCAAAATTTCATGAGTTTTCTTTCTTTAATGCCTTTATTTGCATCGATGCGCAATATCAGCTGAACGACCAACGAAGGTCCGTCAGTCAATCGTGGGAGCAGTCCGGAATGCTGGCTCGTCATAAGCTAAATGGAAAGTTTTTTTTTTTTTTTTTTTAAAATTTAAAAAAAACAATTCAAATAACGTAACGAGAGGCTCTCGTTACAAATTCAAATTACCTCTGCGGGAAACCAATTGCGATGATTGATTTGTAGGAAGGAAAAATATTCAGCGCATAATAGGAAAAGTAGAACTGTGTAGTTCCTTCCCAGATATCAATACACTATTCGGTGTCTGCTCTGGCTCTTGTAAGAATAAAGCATATTTATATTTAACCTCAGGAAGAGACAGTTGAAACTTCTAGGGAACATAATGGGGAAAGAGTACATTGATGTCAGGTGAGGGTTTAAGAGAAATCTGAATAAAAATCATTTCTTATGAGCTAAAAAGGACAGGAGATTGTGGAGTGCCATGATCGCCCACGTCTTGAGGGGACATGGAACATAATGAGGAAGAAGACTTGCAACAATTGGGTAAAACTAAAAAAAAAAAAAAAAAAACGATATCTCTAGATGTGGACTGAGAAATGAAAAGAGAGACTCTCCGAGAGATTGAACATAAGGTTATGTTTTGAAATTCGAAGAGGGTTACGAGGGTCAACAGGCTCCCGAAGAATGCGAAAAGGCGCAACTTCCGAAAGGTTCTGAGAATACAACGATGATAAAGACAATAGTCCAAGTGTAAATGTTGTATGCAATTCTGTCAGTTATATGCCATGCGTGTTACACGCGTAGGTGATCCTGTATATTTGGGTACATGACTGACAAGAGAGATTTTCCCGCCGTAGGTGGGAATTTCATTCTGCGGTAGACCAGTTACCATCCAAGTCTATAGAACCCGGTCTGTCCTGCTATTTACCCATAACTGGGGGGAGAAGAAAAGGATTCATACCTTTCTCAAGAGTATTAGCACATCAGTCAGTCACTTATTACCATTCGTGATGCACGCTTAGGAAATCATGTATGTTTTGATAGATGACTGACGAGGCAGATATTTCTATCAGTACGTTGCCTTTACTTTCTGCAGTAGACCAGTTGCCATTCAAGGCTATAGAACCCTGTCTTCTTCTATTTACCCTAGGTGGGGTGGAAGATGAGGATTCATACCTTTCCCAAGGATATTAGTATGTAAGTGAATGTAATGGATTCGACTGGAATTTGAACTCGGCTCTCCGATTCCTCAATCCGAGCCGCTTTCCATTACTACATCGTTCCTGGAAGCATTTACTCATCCTTAAAATATATGTCCCTTCCACGTGGTGTAATCGTTAGCAAGTTTGTCTTGATAAATCATTTACATCTTAGTAGTGAGTTTGATCCTTACTGGGTGCTCCACACTTTCACCCTTGTGCGACATCTAACCTACGCTTAGAAAATAACTTGGCCAATACAAAGTTTTACAATTGTGAGCAATCTTGTTTTTCTAGATCAACAACAACGAATTAGGGAGTAGGATTCTCAGTGGGTGCTCTACACTTTAAGTCATGTGTCACATCTAAGTTAAGTGTAGAAAATAATTTGGGCAATTTGACGTGGTCTGATGATTAGGAAGCTTGTCTCGCAGATTAGTTACGAGTGAGTTCGAACCTCACTGGGTGAGCAAGACTTTTGGGTGTGTACCTCATCCAGGCTACGCTTAGAAAAGCACCATACCTAAATTTCAGAGTTAAATTTAAATCAAACATTTAAATTTTAATACTTCTAATTTTTTTCTTGGTTTTCTTTTTCTTTCTTTCTTTTTTTCAATTAATTCTATCTTTTATTCATCTGCATTTTCTTATGATATTTTTTCTGATTAAACTCTGACTCTTTCATTCTCTGTTTATTTTCTTACCGCTATAACAGACTGATTATATTGAACTCCATGTTTTATTAGTTCTAGTCTTCTAATACAGGATTGAAGATATTTGCCTTTAGGATCGCCTCCATCCTTGACACGGATTTGATGATGCCCTAGATGCAAACATTCGTAAGTTGGGTCCAACCTGTCATTATGACGGACGACTTTTCTTCTTGCAACGGAAGACTTACCATTAACAAGAAAAAAGTGCAAGTATATAAAACAGAAAAAAAACAACAGATGAAGATAAAACGTGGTTGAGATAAGTGAAAGATTTTTTTTAATTTCCCATGAAATACTAAGTTCAATCGTTCACCTGTTTCGATGTATAGGTCGTGGGAGACTGAAATTTTTTTCTGGGTATAACACAAGCTTCTAGTCGATATATACACACAGAGAAAAAACACACATATGGAATCGAATGAGATAAATCAAATTAATTTAATATTTTTCTCCATATTGTGGGGGGGCATAAGAAATTCACTGATGGTAAAATTTCAATTTATGAGTAGTTTTTTTTTCTTTGTAACGATTTTTTTAAAAGTATGTCGAATTTCAGTTTATATTACCATTAAAAACAAAATAGAAACGAATGTAATATCTTCATACTGTAGAAATTAATGAAACTGTCATTTATTACGAATATTGTTAGCCTTTCTCCGGAAATATCTGAAATAGCCCTCCATTTCTGAACCTTATTTTAATTTTGAGTAGGCCTGTAATACAGGGCATGGTTCGAACTGAATAGAGGTATTTTCCATGATTTCTGAGGCGTTTGCTCATTCTGGGGTGTCGTATCTCAATCGTCAGAGAATGAGTGTTCGTTTTAAGTATAACACAAGGTAGTCGACGAGATAGAAAAATCAACCCGCCTATGCACTCTCTTGGATTGTCTTTCCAGGCCAATAAGATCAAGAAGTCACCTTTACTGATGAATACAGCACAATGAGATTGGAACTCGGGTCTCCTGATCGGAAAGCTCATATTTCAATAATCAGATGAATTAACGTCGTCATTCCGCCAGTACGAACCATTATAGCCAATCTCTGTCCTTTCTTCAACAATGGGTTACCGATCACAGAATTGCCGCTCATTGCTTATTTCTTTACAGTAAGGCTCACTCTGTAAAAGACCCGAGAGCCAATCGAAGTAGAGACTTACAGAATAATAGGCACAGTTTATCCGGATAGGTGGGGAAGATAACGGTTAACTCTAGTCTTTAACACGTTAAGATTATAGGGATCTGGGAAGCATCCTCTTGGGTGTCTGTTCAAGCAGTTTGCTTCAAGAAGCAGCTCAAGTTGAATTACTTGTCCCCAGTATAACACATACGGAATGAGGCTGGTTCGCTACACGTTACGTAACATGGTGGGTCCTTTCCATGAATGTTGAAATGAAGGAATATAGTTCGTTTGAGAACTTTTCATTCAAATAATGATAGCGAAGTGAGAGAGGTTGCAGGTTAGAACATAATTTATCTCCGAGAAAAAACAGGGAAACAATTATAAACGCTATCGAGCCTAGAATATGATAACTGGGAAGCACCTACCCAAACATGACAGCAGCAGTCCATTTTTAACTTTAACTCACTCATATGAAATGTAGAGGTTAAAGGATACAGTTTTCCTTTTTTCTGTTTGTTGTTCAGAAACACTGGAGTCAGTACTGCAGGAGAATTCTTTAAGATTGTCCTTGGCTAAATAGAAATTCCCATAAATGACCCTCATTTTAATTGTATTTAATTAAGTGGGGAGTGAATGTATAATTACCTGTTCCTTTTTCTTTACTGGTCTATATAAAGTGGTACTCATTTATTTCTTTCTCTTGCTCTTTCTTTCTTTTTTACAATCTTTCTTTTCTTCATTTTTTTCTTTCTTTTATTCCTTTCCTCCTTTCCATTCCTATTTATTTTATTTCTTTTCTTCTTTCTTTGTTTCTTTCTTTCTACTTTCTTTCTTTCTTTCCTTCTTCCTTTCTTTCTTTCCTTCTCTCTTTCCTTCTTTTCTTGATTTCCTTCTTTCTTTCTTTTTCTTTCTTTCTTTCTTTCTTTCTTTCTTTCTTTCTTTCTTTCTTTCTTTCTTTCTTAGACTTTCTTTCAATTTCGTATGTTTGAAGGCCAATTCTTTCTCTTTTTACATTTATTTCTTTTCTATCATTATTACCTTCCATATTCATTCCAAACAAACAAGAAATTTCAGTCCTCCCTACCGGTCGTCTTTCATACCGGTCGTCCTTTCTACCGGTCGTCTTTCATACCGGTCGTCCTTTCTACCGGTCGTCTTTCCTACCGGTCGTCCTTTCTACCGGTCGTCTTTCCTACCATCCTTACAGTCTCCTAATCTTTTCTTTTTTCATTGGTCCCTTTCCTCCTCCATCATTCTATTCGTCACATTTTCCATTATCGATTCTCTCATTAATTACTTCATTCCAGATTTCTTTTTTTTCCTTCCTTACAATATATATCTCCTTCCAACCACACTTTTTTCGTCCTTCCTACCGAACATGTTCCTGATTTCTTCCCTTCTTTTTCCACATTTTCCATCCTTAAATTCTTTTCTTAATTCGCCCCTCTTTCCTTTCCTCTTTACCGACCGGCCTGCTTTTTCCCTTTTAGCTTCTTTACAACATTAATATTCTCCATTTCCCCACCCCCGTCCAAGCATCAGTCATTCCTCTTTACGTTTCTTCCTTCCTTTCTTCTCACCTTCTTTCCTCTTAATTAGCGAATGTCGTAATTAACAACTCAAATAAAAATCGCAGTAATTACTGAAGCATTTAAAGCTGTTATTTGCTTCGAGTTTTGCAAGAAATGTTCGAATGGAAAGATCCGTATGTCGAAATTTGGCAGTGGTACCCTTCCATATTAAATAGCATTATTATTGTAAATGTTCGTAGAAATACTATGAGATAGAGAACGTCGTATTAAATGCAATTATTCACATTTTACTGCCGTGTGTCCCTCATAAAGAATAAAACGAAATATAAGCAAAATAACTTTACGAAACTGCCGTGTATTTTCACATGTCCGCGTGTCTTTTGATCTATGGCCGCTTTAGTAAGGGGAGTTATTTGACGTTAATTGGTAAAGACGAGTTGGCATTCCCTAGTTCACTACTTGTTACATATTCATATTTTTCCAGGCGTTTGTGATTTTAAATTTAATTAAATTCTAGTAATACGTCGACAATATATTTTTACACTTTGTCATGACTTTTCATTCACACCCGCAGTTTTGTCTTCCTCAGCATTTGACTATAGCACAATCATATAGTTAAAGTGCTAAATTTCTTACATATACACTTCATATTTTACATTTCGAACAAACTTTACTGTTAAAAATACTTGAAAATCTCGCCAAGAGAAAACTCCATTTGTTTATAGATTAATGTATAAAAGTACAGGACCGGATTTCAATTTATGTCGGTTGAAAACCATTTTGTATTTTCTGTAATTGGAATTAAGACCTCTTAGCAATATTGTAATGTTGTTTCTTTTCGATTTGTACGTTGGAAATCTATATATAATCAAATTTTAAGTTGATGATTTATAATTATCGCCAGGCTGCTTAGTGTTGTGGTTTTTTGAAATATAAAATATAAAGTATTTTCATTTACATGTTTTTTACAACTAGTTTTTTATCTTGTGAATGTTTTTACTGTTCTTAATTTTAGTTGCTTGTTAAGAGAAAGATAAATGCGATTTCTTCGGGTGTAACTGCGAAAAAAAGAGGCAATGAAGAAATTGAGGAGGAAAGTATAAGTGCCACGTAGCTTGATGATGAAGCCGGGTGAATGAGTAAAGAAATGTCTTTCCAGCAGCTCCGTCGTGAACCGATGCCATATGTTTCAGTTCCTTCTGCTTATCTGCTCTAGAAACTTTGTTTATATATTCATCAAAGGAATCTCGAAGCATTTTTTATGGTCGGCTGTAACTCGACCCGTTAGCTGAAAAATGTTAAATATTTATTTTCAAAGAATTTATTTACCGGAAGTATACGATGACCCTCAGATTCGGAAACCATTTTTTATGATTTGATATTTGATTGCTATGCTGTTTATTTCCGTTTTCGCTCCACACTTAGTATACTAAATGCCTACTTTGAATTATAGAGAGCTACTCTTCCACCGACTAGTATCATACTAATTTCCTCCGTGGTTCACATGAAAATTCTACTTTTTTTCCCCAGCACACACACTTTCGAGAACACGTGGGTAATTCCTTGAGAACTACAATCAAGCTACAAAAAACTTAGTTGTAAAATAACATGTAAATGAAATAGTTTATATTTTTATCTGTAAAAAAACACACTCGTCTTTTATATTTTTTATCCAATCATTCAAAAGTGCAACACCAAGCAGCATGGCGGTAATTATAAATCATCAACTTAAAATTTTATTATATAGAAATTTCCAAAGTACAAATCGAAAATCAACAAAATTACAATATTGCTAAGATCCTTACAATACCAATTATAGGAAGTACAAAATCACTTCGCGCGGTTACCGCCCTTTAATTCAAGGGCCAGTCGAATTCTATTCAGCTTGTCCATTCACTATCAAATTATCTTCCGTACATTATCACATATTTTACATATAAGTATCATTTTAACAGAAATAGCTCTTACATTATTGACTCTACAGGTTTTGACTGGCATATGTTTTTAAATAAAATTATTAAGCATTTGATTTATGACAGATATAAACTCCTGAAAATATAAAATCTTATTGGATAATTACGATGAAGCTTGTGTTTCTAAAATATTTCTCAATATCTCCAGCTATCTTATGTTAAAAGCAGTCGAGGTATGTCTTATTTTCAAAACGTGCTTTTATTTCACCTACTTCGAGAACTCTAAATTCTAAGACAATTTATTATTGGAGTATATGGATTGGCCTCTAGTCCAGTTCATATCCATCCCTCATCTTTTAAACAGGTGTAAATGTTTTTCTTTGTTTCCTGTCTCAGACCGTGTTTCCGATTCTTTCTCCTAAATTCTTCTAATTGTCATTCACTCACCGTAATTCCCTTACGTCTTTGAGACATTATCACCTTGCTTGAGATGAAACTGTCCCTTCTTTCTTTCTTTCTTTCTTTCTTTCTTTCTTTCTTTCTTTCTTTCTTTCTTTTAATGTTTCTGGAGCAACTGGAAATATATAATTATGTCCAGGGCTTGATTCATACGTTTAATTTAATAGAAATATTTTGCGATCAGATGTTTTTTCTACTTTTTCAAATGCCGACAATTTTCATATTTTCAGTTTATTAGATTTTAAAGGTGCTCTGTCAATCTTGTAGTGATGCAGCTCAGACTAGACACCAGGTTCGTTCACAGGGTGCAGCTTCTAGCAGTCAAAAGATTGTGTCTTAAAAATAACTTTTTTCGCTAGATTGTCACCCACGAATTAAAACCAGGTGACGATTTTACAAGTAGGCAAATTTTATTCCTCGTTGTAACCTTCTTCTGAAGACAAACTAAGGAGAGGTGAGGCGAGATGAACAGTCTAACGGACTTGCCTTCCTTTTCGCATCACGACGAGTCGGTCACTTATTCTTCTCTGGAACTCTCTCTGTTCGGCTGCTAGTGACCACTGTCTTAGACATACATTGTTCTTTGATATGACAGGTTTATCTAAAAATGCAATTCATCACAATGTCAGTGGCTAGCTTCACTCATTGAACTTATTTTTCAGGATCGCTTCACCTGGCTCACTGAACTGACTTTCGTTGCCGTAACATGATTGTCAAAACGATTTCTGTCATACGTTGCATCTGGGTCCTTAACAAAATACCAGCTGAAAACTGATATTGTTATAATCTTTTATAACATTGTCTCTGTTCTAATTTCAACACGAAACAGCTGAAATTGAATAACACAGTTCTTTTTATTATTCTTAAAGTTATTCGGCACATGATCGTTCAGTTTCTCAATTTTCTTGAAAACATCGAAATATTTTTCCTCATTCACCCGTTTTATTTTTCATAATCACTGTTTTCCTTTCGCTTTGGGATTTCGTCCGAAATACTTAAACAAAGAACCTTATGATGTCTAACAAAATATATTGACTTTGATCTCTGTTGTGTTGTCTTCCAGCCTGTGGCGTAGAAGTATTTCCCGCTGTGCTGACTGACGACAAATTAAATTTGTAGTCATTTAACCAAATAGGGTAAGTTCATCTGCCTAGATTTCTGAGATCAGGTATTGTAACTATCTACACTATTTACATTTTTCGGACTGCTGTCAACGTTTTTATTGTCATATCGACGACGTTTTTCCCACGGATACATGGCCCAGTGGATAAAGCCTTGGTTGAAATAACCCAAAAGTGACTGACCCAAAGAGTTGTGAGTTCGATACCTGGCCACAGCAGAGGTAAACAAAAACTTGAAAGGTTGAGTTACTAAAGGGAGTTAACTGAGACCGAGATATCCAGAAAAGGCATGGCACGTGGAACTAGAACAGTCTACTCCATTGCTCTAAATAAGGAGTTCGATTCGAAATTCAAACGTATATCACCTGAAGAAAGCCGGAACGTACAACGGCAGAAACGTAATGGATATGACAATATTGGTGAGAACAACAGTCCGAGAAATGTAAATAGTTTAACTGGTAAGTCTAGTTTGCATGTCTCACTGCAACTGCTTTTATCTTTCGAATGCTCCTTCCTTTGAAAGTAACGTCAACATTTACAAAGAAGAAGCATGTGACACATTAAAAACGTCGTCTTTAAATGTTGGAATGATGAGAATTCGATTGTTTTATTTCGCATAGCGCTAGTGATAAAACCAATTCAAATAATGTGATAAAATATTTTTCAAAGGGTACTCACTTGAACGAGAATAAAAGCTGCGCCGATTAAGCTTACTGATCGAAACATTAGCGAAGCTCTAGCTGTTTGTTTAGATATTGTTATGGCTCACTACTAGCGCTTATAATATTATGTATTTGCTTAGGCTATGACATCATTAGAATTCTGTTCGACTGACTACAACTAAGATTTTTTTTTAAAAAAATACAAAAACTGTGGCACAAGGCCAAAAATGGTGAAAGCTGGTCATCATTTGTTTTATCTTAAACTTAGTTAACCACAATAACAGATCTAAATAAACTATACAACATTCCTTCCACCAAAACAACATATTCTTACTTACCATTCTTACTACAAATACCGTAATGCCTCAAAGTTTCTATGAAGTTCCAGGTAATCCCAGTATGTATAATTTTTCTCTGGGGGTTGGGCGTGGAAAAGAATAATATTTAAAAATGGAAATCCCAATAAATATTTACAAAATGCGTAATACTATATATACAAAAAACTAAACAAAATGGTGTTAGTAATAAAAAAAACAACACAATACTTAATTGTGGGATATGGATGAATGGAAAAACCAATGATTCGACCAAACACACACAAAACAACGCACTCATTTAAACACGACAACAAATACGAAAAAATGAAAAACTCTATTCCATACGGGGTAACCAATGTTTAATACAGGGCTTCCAATATCCTTATGCTTATACGGCATCAAAATGCCGCTCCAACTCAGATCCTTTCATTTGAGAGAGACGCAAAAGTTTCACCCGCCATTTTCCAATTTTTGATGAAGGGATTCATTGCCTTTCCGTCTTG